ACCGCTCTGTGTGGGCATACAGTGCCACATCTCTATCTATTTATCCATCCATCCATCTCTATTCTCTTTCTTTGCGAGTGCGTGCGTGAGCGGCGCGCAGCAGCGGAAGGAAGCAGCCGCTGCATAAACTCGTTGCTGCTGGCACGTTCCCTCGGACTGCGAGAGCAAAAGGAAGAGGAGGAGGAGGAGGAGGAGGAGTAGGAGGAGGTGGTGGTGGAAGAAGAAGAGGAGGAAGAGGAGGAAGAGGAGGAAGAGGAGGAAGAGAAGGAGGAGGAGGTGGTGGTGGTGGTGACGGTGACGGTGGCGGTGACGGTGACGGTGGCGGTGGCGACGACGGCGACGGCGACGGCGACGACGGAGGAGGAGGAGGAGGCGGAGGAGGAGGGGGAGGAGGAGGAGGAGGAGCAGGAAAAGGAGGAAAAGGCCAGGCGAGGCTGCCAGCGCCAGTGCGATAAGATGGCGTCATGCGTGTTGTCGCCGTGCAGGAGGACGTAGAGAAAGGACGGCGGCAAGAAGGCCCAGGTCGATTTACACGAGGTCGGCAACGACAGTGATGGTGATTGCGGTAATGCTGTGGCTTCTCACTCTCTTTCTCTCTCTCTCTCTCTCTCTCTCTCTCTCTCCTTTCCCTCTCCCTTAGTTCGTCACGCGCTCTGTCTCTCTTGCCCTTGCCCTCAGGCCGACGCGCCTCTTCTCTCTAGCTTCCGCGAAACTCGAGCTACGGGTGCAGGTACGTGCACGCATCAGCCTCACGTACACGGCGGCCCCTCATCCGTCTCCACTTGTCGCCTCTGTACGCGCACGCCCGTACGTGTATTCATGAGCGTGAGCGCGCGCGCGCGCGCGCACTCCTATGCTCCTCGTACCCCCTGCGAGGCGCTCCTCTGCATTCCGAGACGAGCGAACGTCAAAATCGGACAGTGTCGCGAGTGCTGCATGAGCAGCCGAGGTAGAGGCGCCTTCATAAACAAAGGATTAATAATAAAGGCGAGGCAATGAACGAGCGAAGGAGTTCGAGCGGGGAATTCGCTGGATGGATACAGGCGCGGTGTGCTCGCATGTGTTTGAGTTTACATGTACGCGTACGTGCGCGTGTGTCATGTCTCGTATGTGGTCTACGACTCCTCGACATCCAAGATTTCCTTCTACCACGCACGACAGTCACTCGTTCGCATTATATGACTTTACTCATTTTTCCCTTCTTGCCAGCGTTTGCTTTTTTTTTCTTTCATTCCTTTTTCTCCCCTCCCCCCTCCCGTCCCTCCCACATTCTACATTGTCGGCCGCGTATAAAGTAAGAACGCGCGGTACATGATACGCTTAGCATGCCTGCATTTTGTCTTTCCCGAGAATCTTGGGTTATTAGAGTGGCGTTAAATAACGTAACCACTCGATTGTACTCTTATTATCTTACATCATTGTTAGCGAAAATAAGCACAAACTTACGCCCTCCTGCTATGTCGTTCTATCGCCTCGCGAATGAACGAGACGACGTACGGGCAATATTGCATGTAAAATATCTTTAGATTTATTCTGCCCTCGTCGGCGAATAAAATTAACCCGATGGCTCGACGTGTGCCGTTTTTTTAATATTATTATGTATTCATTGTACTTGACAATTAGTTTGGTCAATCTTATAAAGGCTTACTTAACCTTAATAAGCAGCTAAAATGTATTTGTATTTACTCGAAGCTTTAACCCTAAAAACATAACGTAAGGCGTAAGAGCTTTTATCGTTAGTTGTCATTTTCGCCCTATAATCACTCGTTTAAAATTATATTTATCCAATATATTAATATGTGTGTTTAATGCCTGTAGGATCCTCGATGTGACTTGGTGAAAGGCTTGCGGAGCAACGTCATCTAGCCAACTCGTAGCATATAGGAAGACAATCGTCTAGATGCCTTTGTTATTGGAAAATCGACACCGAGGCTGCGACTCATAGCCTAGAGTAAAAGTTCCCGTTCATCGACAAAACTGCCTCTCTACGTTCTCTGAAGATATATACGTATGTATATATATGTCTTCGAAGAGTATTGTATAGACCAGCAGGTATATACACATATATAGAGAATCATGAGGGAGTTTAAAGTGGTGGTGCTGGGCTCAGGTGGAGTGGGAAAAAGTGCACTCACTGTGCAGTTTGTGTCCGGCTGTTTTATGGAGAAGTACGATCCAACGATCGAAGACTTCTATAGGAAGGAGATCGAGGTAGATAATTCGCCATGCGTTTTGGAAATTCTGGACACTGCGGGAACCGAGCAGTTTGCCAGCATGCGAGATCTCTACATCAAGAATGGCCAAGGCTTCGTGGTGGTTTATAGCTTAACGAATCACCAAACTTTCCAGGACATAAAAGCCATGAAAGAGCTAATCACACGCGTCAAAGGTACTGAGAGGGTGCCAGTGCTCTTGGTGGCGAACAAACTGGATTTAGAACATCAGCGTGAGGTGGATACGGTGGAGGGCAATGCTCTGGCGCAAATGTGGGGATGTCCTTTCGTCGAGGCGTCCGCGAAGAATCGCACCAACGTCAATGAAGTTTTTGCGGAAATTGTTCGCGAAATGAACTTTAGTCCCGAAAAGGAGAAGAAGAGTTATTGTTGCTGCAGCATCCTCTAATACTTAATCAAAAGAACAGCTGCACCGGCGGCGGTGGACTGATGCGGAAAAATTATGCACGAGTGTTGACCCTGAGTGGGGGCACGAGTGGGTGGTCGAAGAAAACTTTTTATAAAAGAGAAACTTTTCAATATACGAACAATCGAATCATTCTTGAATAGAGAGGTAGCGAAAGAGAGAGGGGGGAGGGAAGGAGGGAGAAAGAACGAGAGAGGGGGGAGAGGACAGGCAGTGAGATGGGGAGCAGACAAAATGAACACGGAGAGAAAAAAATGTAGGCTGCAGTAAAGAGTGTTTGGAGGTTAAATTGAATTTTCAGAGCTAAGCGCTTTCGATGCCAAGTGATAATAAATTCCCCATCGTGGTCAATTCAATTAGACCTTAAGAGTTTCGAAGTTGATTAGTAAGAGCATGTTAAAGTTTGTATTTTTATTCACCAAATCTCAATTAATTCAATGCGGCGTGCAAGTATCCGAGCCCTCGTTGGCAAAACAAAATCTCCCTGTAATCTTTGCTGCAAATATGTCTCTCTTTCTCTTATAAATAAGAGTAAGCGCTAGAGAGATGGGCTGTGAGATAGAAATTGGAAAGCGAAAGAGAAATCAGCAGTGATTTATTAACGTTTATTACGAATACGCAACGCAAAAGAAATATCGCCATTGCGCACATCATGTCACACGCGTGCACAACAAATACGAGATGTCATGTACGCGAAAGGGATGAAACGATGCGTTGTGAAGAGAGAAGGGAGGAGGTGAGACGCATAACAACGTGCGTGCACCCGCGTACACGCGCCCACTCACGCACTTATATGCATACACACAATAAAAATGTCGAGCCACGATGCGTAGGTTGTTGAGTCGCGCGTTTTCTTGCTTTTCTATCGGAAATAGCGTGCGCCAAATACGCACGCACAGTTATTTTAATATACGCCGATAGTATTACGTGTAATATTATTGTAATATATATATAAACGGTAGGCATAAGCAGGCAATAAATAAAAGACGGTCGATCGTACGAGAGGAAGAAAACGGGGGGTGGGAGTTAAGACCAAGGTGTGTTGGCATTTTGATGATGGAGGTGATGTGATGAGGGGAGGGCGGAGACGAGTCCGAGTGACCATGGGAAAGAAAGTGAACGCGAGCTGTTCCCTTAAGTTAGTTGTTATAATTGTTATTTCTTCGGCGACAAACCAAACTCGATGTAATATTGTTAGCTAACCGCTCGATTTTACACACGCAGAACTGGCTTTTTATGGCACTTATTAATCGTCGGACCGGATGTGCGCGCTCGAATCCCTTAATACATTGCCGAGCTTTTAATTATTTACGTCCTCGTGAAAGATCATGATTGTTATATTGCGGCGCGAGAAGCAACGAGTATCCTTTTGTAAAAGTTCAGTTCTGTCGGCCCGCCGCGCGATCATCCACCGTATTACATTTTGACATTAGCGAGTTATCAAGCAGCGGAATAAGGGGGAAAGAGAAAAACTTGTTTTTTCCTTTGACGCGAAAAACCAAAACCAAACGAAACAAAACGAAACAAAAGAAGAAGAAAAAAACGAAAAAAAAACTAGTATTTCCTTTATTATTTTGTACGTCGTTGGTTTATTCGTTCGTTACTCTTTTTTTGTTTTTTTTTTGTTTTTTTTTTGTTTTTTTTTTTTTTGTTTTATCGTTTTCATATGCGAATATACCGTCTTATCAAATTCGCCAGAGTTTTTCTCTTTTTCGATTCTCGGCTCTTGTGCTTACTATTATACTGTGCTCGAACCAAAGCTATGGCACTTATTGGGAATAACTATTCCCATGATGTCGAGCATACGATAAGGATGATCGATATCCCTTTTTATTACTCCAATCGAAATCTCAATACTAATTGTATGATATAGATTTTTTAAGGACACTTTGGTGAGATCTTTTATTTCAAGATATTTAAATTTTATTCGTGTTCGGTGCTTCAAGCTATATGTTTTCCTCGTTTATTTTCTTTCACAATCCACTAGGACGAGCTTTTCGAAACCATTTCTCCATATTGTCGGTTTCTCCGAAGATTCTCCATTAATCCATTAATCACAACGACGATGCATTTTACATTTCTTATCGTATTATTCGAATTTTAACCCTTAATTTAAACATCTTGAAATTAAGATTCTCCCAATTTAAGGGTGGAAGATCGCGCGATGCTTCCATTACTTTTTTATTTTATTTTAAAAAAAAAGCAATTTTTTTTTTTTAAATTTTTTAAATCAATTTTCGTATGCGAGGTGGTAGCCTTTACTCAAAGACGCTCAACATATAAGTGACATTTGTGTAAGCTGTTAATCTGTCCGTCGGTCTTTATTATCATTATTTTAATTTTTGTTCATTATGTCCACGTAAGTTTCTTTTCTTAGCGATGCTTCGGTGTCCTTGCTTTTTACACGAATTAAACTACGAGCACATTACAACCGCGTGAACAATTATTCCAGGTACAAGAAATAATCCTAGCGGCGGAGAGAGGAAGTAGATCATTAGGGAGTAGGCAGTCGAAAAGTGAAAATCGCATATTTTTCTAAATAATATGTAAACAATATGTATCGTGAACACAATTAATAGAGTCTTTACGGCTATGTAAATGAAACTGAGGAAACGATCAATGACAAACAAACAGAATAATTTTGCGCATATCATTTAAAGAAGATGAAAAGATAAAAACAAAATCCAAAACTGATAAAACAAAAATGAAAAAAAAAACAAAAGAGAAAAAGACGAGAAAAATCTGCTCTACTGCCCCCCCCCCCTTGATCGAATAATTTTATTCCCTACTAAAGCTACGTTAAAGCCAAGGACATTGGACATTGTACTAACACGTACAATTTTAAGTGCGACTCGAAGTTCTAGTTTACAAAGGCTTTGATTTTAAATTTATTAGAACGACCATAACTATCTGATAAGGATGAAAGTAAATTGAAGTATTTGTAATCTAGCTTGCGGATGAGCCACTTGGGTAAATTTTCTAATCGGGTCACGCAATTTGATAGGAAGAACGTTAAGGCGTTAATTAGACAGACGAGTGCGGCGAGTTCATAGAAAGGTGTTTTTATCAATTTTTGGACGTCGTTTGTGGGCGTGAAATGCAAAATCTAATTTTTCTTTTGAGTTCGCTACGCTTGTCAAGTTTCCAAGTGGAATAAAAGAAGGTAACACCATAACTTAGATGGACTTCGGCCTTTCAGTACTACCTGCGTATGATATTGTGTACGAAATATGTTATATTTTTTACAATGTGAAGAAAACTGTAAATACGATAGCGAGTCAGGTTATACATAAATATATATATTATATATATATGATAAAATTAATAATTATCTCACCCGTGAAAGGACTACTAGAAGTGAGCGGCTTACAACAACAACAGTAATAACAACAACAACAACAACAACAAAAACGAAAACGAAAAAAACGTAAAGAAAAAAACGTAAAGAAAAAAATATATAAAAATACGAAAGAACGTGCATTAAACACTTGTAAGCGGCGGAAGTGACGAAAAGCCATAAGTCGATAATGTTGTTGGTTAGTGTCCGGATGAGTGTGCGTTGTGAACATTTTTCGGGTCCTTTGTGTGGGATGGGGTGAGGGTGGGAGGGTGGGAAGGGGTCGAATAGAGGGAAAAAATAAGAAGAAAAAATGTGTTCGGGATTACGATGATATTCTTTGTGATGAACTTTAATTATTTAAAGACAATTTTGTTGTTGTCGAATGCGGTGCTGGCAACGAGGTGTTTACTGTCAATGTGTAAAAGTATTGAGAAAAGTTTTTCGTAATCAGGCACAAAAGAGGAAATTACTATCAAGTATAAAACGATAAACATTTTTTAGGCAGATACATTACAGTATCTCGTGCTAAAACATAGTGCCCGATAAAATCATGTGAACTTTGTAATTTTACATAATGAACGGAAATTCCCGTACGTATGTGCAATAATGTTGAAAACGTCAATTATATCTTCATTTCTCGTGCATTATAAATTTAAATTTAAATTTAAAATTGCATTAAAGTAAATACTTTTTTTTTTTTTTTTTTTTTTTTTTTTTTTTTTTTTAACTGCTAACTGTATATTTTATTCGCGAAGGATAAAAAATCTTCCATTCGTTCATGATCATTTATTAAACAACTTTTCCCTATGTTGGGTCAAGCTCTACATGCTTTTACATATTATATGTTCACACTAATTATTAGGCACTAACAACACAAGTCAATTTCAATACAATGTCAGTTTTAATAGCTATGCAGAGAAGAAAAAAAAAAGGAAAAAAATTATACGTAATTTATGCATTACAAATAGAAAAATTAATGGAAAAGAAAAAAATAAGCGAAAAAATGAGATACATGAATTTATAAATCGTAAAATATATGTATAAACTATACCTAAAAAGTAAAAAAAAAAAAAAAAAAAGAAAGAAAAAAAAAATTCGTTTATATATTCATTATACACTCACAACAGTACATTTATAAAAGCTTGAGATATAAAATTATGTATATAAGAGTAAGTTGGTATTATAAGAGAATGACAAAGAGATAAGTAGTGTTACTCTAATCATTTGACCTCTCTGTTAGGTGCCTTGTTTAATTCTTTAATGGCACAGTAAGAGGAATCGACATTATTCAACTTCTTGCCGAGTTCATCTAATTTTGATTGCGTCATTAAAAGAAAAAAGAAAAAATGAAAAATCGTTTTGTGCATAACGATCTGTTTTAGTTCCGAATAATGCTTATGATCTTGATAAGCGAGCGGCAACTCCTTATTGATTTTCAATTTCGAGGAAGAAATTTGTAAAATTACAGTCTCGCCGACCATTATCGGAACACGTGGGATCGAGAAAGACCAATCCGCACACTTCGATCCCGAACGAGACATGTCTCGCGAATAATTCCTTTCGCAAATTCGCTATGCAGCAGTTCGTGTATCTCCTTCAAATATAATTGCCATTATGGCGAACAGCATCTTTGAAACACGCAGGCCCATCTTCTAGTAGTGTGTTAGTTACGCTCCTGTCGTCTTGTGATTCTCTCGTATATCAAAAATTGGGTGTCCGCTTTTCCGTTTCTTTTCGCAGGCCCCACCGTAAGCGTTTAAAACAATCTCTCATGCGTTCAACAATGCGTCGCAGGTTTCCACGTGATAATGACGTCA